ACTCTGAATAGAGGAATGTGGTATCAGAACCAGAGGGAAATTCATCAATAACCTGTTACGCAGAAAACAACTTTGCTTGCTGAAAGTGAGGACAACTTGAAGCATTTGTTCCAGAGGATCAGAAAATCCAGCCTTCAATATGGATTGCATCTCAGGAAAATAAAGATTCTTTGCTCTGGACTGATAGTCAACATGATAGATGGAGAAAAGATTGAGCAACTTCATTTCAAGTCAACTTCATTTCGCTTGAAACCACAATCAACACCCTTGGTAGCAGCAGTCAGGAAATCAAGAGGTGTAGTACACTGGGAAAGTCTGCAGTTAAGGACGTCTCCAAAGTATTGAGGAGTAATGGTGTCATTCTGAGCACTAAGGTACATCTGATTCAGGCCATAGTCTTTCCATTCACTTGATATGCATCAGAACTGGACAATGAACAAGGATGACAGAAGAATTGATGCCTTCGAGCTGTGGTGTTGGAAAGTGCAGCCAGAGGGCTCTTTGGAGGCAGAGATGATGCTTCGCCTCATACTTTGGGCATGTTGCTAGGAGGAGCTGTTCTTTGGAAAGGGACATGATGCTCAGAAAGATGGAGGGTCGGCGAAGGAGAGGAAGACCCTCGACCAGATGAATTGACAGGGTGACTGTCGAAATGGGCTCTAGTGTGTTAGGAGGTGAGAGGATGGCACAGGATAGGACAGGGGTCAGGTCTATTATTCTTGGGGTTGCTGTGGGTCATACTTGACAGAACCTGACAACAACGTGCAGTAGACTTCAGTGTGATGAAATGCCATTTATTGGAATTTGTCAAAGGTTACTTTGTGACCTTAGTACAAGTTCATGTTTTATAAATATTCTATTAATGCTTGAAAAGAGTTTTTAAAATATCATGGTGCAATACAAATTTTAATTTTAACCACTTGTAAGGACAATTTAGTGGCGTTAATCACGTTCATCATCTTGTGTACCCATTACCTTTAACAGAAACTGAGTTACCCCTTCAGCAATACGACATTTTCTTATAAAGAAGTTTGTTACATGTGTTAAATCAAGCTCACTAATTTTCTTTGAACCGTCTCTAGCCTTACTGATATTTCTTCTTGGTATTTAACTTAGATGTTGGTTTGGCCAGTGTCCTCATGAAATCATCAGAATATTTCAAAGCTATAATAAAAAACACTTGGTGATACTTACAACAACAAAAATAAAACAAACAAACAAAAAACACCCCAAAACATAAAAACAAGAAATTGCCAGTTTTTTTAAAATGAAGAGAAATATTAGAGAAAACTCCCAAGATTCTAAAAGATAATCAAGCTCTGAGGTTGAAAAAGTTTAGTTGCTTTTTAGTTTTGGGTGCCTCTAGAAGAGAAATAAAAATGAATATACATTTTTAAGTAAAGTATTTGATCTGGACATTTTGAAAGAGATTGGTGAGATCCTCTGAATACACTATATCCTGAGAAGATTGTTATTGATCCTTATAGAACTTCTAAATCGTTAACCTTAGTGGTTCAAGCTGAGATTTTGGAGTTCCAGGGAGCTCTGGTGGCCTAGTGGTACAGAGCTGTGCTACCATCCCAAAGGCTTCAAATCCACCACCTACTCCATGGGAGAAAGATGAGCAATCTCCTATGGTGCATTTACTGCCTCTGAAAACCTGCTGGAGAGTCAGCCCTTAGTCAGTTCCAGTTCAGCAGTAAGTAACAGCATTTAGTTCTGTTAGAGTTTGATGTTGAGAAGGGTATATTCACCGACGTCATTATTATTTCTTTGAGAAGCAGTGTTTACTGCTGTTAAAGGTCATTGACAGTATTGTCCTTTCTTTGTACGAGGCCAGGTGACAGTTTTGAGTGATAAAAGATACGTTCTCATCCCATACATTTCTAAAAATGTTGGCATTTGTTTTATTCTGGGTCCTGGGGGGGAAAAATAGGGTATAAGCTAGTAACTGTTGCATCAAATGTCTCGATCTCAAGTGAGTGCTTATTTTTCCTTTGATTCCTCTTCTTCACTTTTTTTTTTTTTTCTTGCGTGGGGCCACTGAGATTTCTGGACATAGTCTGACCTGTTGGACAGGGTATGTGTAAGCTACCTTTGTGGGTGAGAGTTTGTTGTGTTGGTTTCCACCTCTGGCTGGTGATTAGAAGTGCCTGGGAACTTTTTCCAGGTGGATGCATCCTGAATGAAAATTACTGGCAATTGGGGCCTTTGAACCTGCAAGTTACTGTGCTAGTGCTGACACACAGTAGAATCTGAAAACCTTTATAAGTGCACAACAGGAGTGAATCCCACCTGTGGACATCCTTTCTGGTGTTCATGGCTTTAGACATAGGAGGCTCTACACTGGTTAATCAAATATTGCCTGTCATTCTATTTATAGCTTCAGGGGTTCATGAAAATCTTTGGGAAATGGTTCAGAAATTCTCTACCTTTCAGAGTGATCCAAAAGCAGAAATTAAACCCTGTTTTTGGACATGCATATGTGTGTTGGGCTTTTTAGCTAAACTGGAATTGGCAGTTGGTTCTTTTGTGATGATCTCCTGAGAAGTATAGAGTTAATTTTTTTTTTAATCTCTTTATGAATATTGAAGTAACTGTTACTTCCTGGAAACATTTTTACTGTTGGTAGATTAATTAAGACTGTTCTCAGGATAACTGGCTAAGAAGAATTAATAGAAAATATGATTCTTGTGAAATAATCCCTTTCTGTTTTGTTAGGAACTTTTGGAACGTCTCTTTTCTTAGACGAGTATTGACTGTGACATAAATGTTGGAGGGCTGCATTCAGAAATACCGAGTCCAAAATTGGCGATTCTTAGTAGCCACAGTTTCTCGTCTTGTATGTCTGCCCCAGTACAGAGCTGGAGGAGAAAAAGAATTGTGAAGGAGTTCAAGCTTTCCTGAGCAGAAGTGGTGGCATGTTAGTGCCACAGGGGTTGATGAGTTCTCCCCCAAACAGGGCCATCCTCTCACGGGAACCATTCTACATCACCCTAGTATCCTGGCCTGTACGTTCTCATTCTCTGCAATGCCCTGAACTAGCATCTATTTGAGGTTGATGAAATCATACATTCTTATTAATCTGAAAAAGAATTAACTTTTACCTAAAGTAGGGAGTTAAAGAAAGATTACAAGTCCTAATGGTTTTTTCTTTTTTTAAAAGATTTGTTATTTTGTGTGTGTACCGTCAAATTGGATCTGACTGGTACAGGAGGAGATTGCCCCTCCTTCTCCAGTAGAGCATCGGTGGATTCAAACCATGTACCTCTGGGAATGCAGTGCAGTTTCTTGCCACTAGGCCACCAGAGCTCCCTGTCCTAATGTTATTTAAAAACATTAAATTTTATTCTTAGTAAATGGTCTCCTAAATATAGTCTTTTTTGCACACTGAACATATTTATATGGCTTGTAAGTGCGTATCATTCTTGCAGCTGCAAACAGCTATGTGGTTTTATTCCCACTAATTTTACTCAGATGATACTCAGATGATAGCACATTAAATACACTGTAGCTCTGGCAGCTTAGTGGTGAGGAATTGTGCTCCACCCCATAAGCTGCTATTGTTGTTGTTGTTATGTCCCATCAAGTCACCTGCGACTCATAGCAACCCTGTGTACAGCAGCCTCAAACCCTGCTCTATCCTATGCCATTCTTTTGTTTTAGTATTTTGTATTATTCTAATTTATTTACAAAGTTTGAATACATTGTTTTTCCACAAAAGATCCTTCCCATTTCCCTTTACCTCACCCACCCATCGAATTGTGCAACCCTGTGATTAACACCCTAAACCCCCCATTTCCACCCCCTACCCTTCCGCCTTGGATCCTCATACTTCTACAATAATGGTTTTATACAGTATTTATCCTTGTGGGACTGAGTTAGTTCACTCAACATAATGCTCTCCAGTCCCTCCCAAGTTAGGTAGTAATTTACAAAATCACTGCTTCTGCATGCTGCGTAGTATTCCATTGTATGAATGTACCACAACGTCTCAATCCATTCGTTTGTGTTTGGACATTTGGGCTATTTCCATGTTCTTGCAATGTCCTGTGCTATTCTTATTATCTCTGAGACACGTACCCCCATGGTTCAAATCCTCCAGCTACTCTGTAGGAGAAACATGGACATGTGATTTACTGCCTCTGAAAACGTGCCGGAGGGTCAGCGGTGGGTCTGTTCCAACTCGACAGTACTGAACAGAAACAGCATGTTTCTTGGAGAGCCAGGATTGCTTTTATTAATTAGTAGTATGTGGCCTGATCATGTTTCAAAGCTGATAGTACAGTTTCTAGCAAGTGATCCTTGATGCATAAATGATTTCCTCCTTCTTCAAAATTTAAATTTCCATAATCCTAGTGGATCTTTGGATGGTCAGTTATGAATTACTGCCTGTTCTTCCCCCTTTCCCCCTTTCAAACCTAGCCTATTTGAAGGAGGGTAGATTTTGAGGAAGTTCCTTTCCATCTTCAAATGTTGTAATCTGTCGTTTTCCTCCTGTTTTTTTTTTCCACAAGCAGCCTGTCTTGCCCCTGTCTTACCATGTCAACCAATGAAGTTCTTCAGAGGCCGACTACCCACTCAGCACTCAGTTTATAGGGGGTGTTGCAGTGAGTTTAGTTTGAGTATGTTGTTAAAAATAAGGACAGTGAAGCAACTTGGATTTCATTCCTCTTCATAATGGTATAGTTGTGAGTGTAAAACATGTATAAAACATATTAAATAACCTGTTTTTAAAAGATCCAGGTTGGCCTATGTTTTTCTCCTTTGGAGCCTTCTCCAACTCCACCTTATTTTTCCTCCTCTCCCCAAAATTGAAGTATAAAGTCTTCATCTTTAATGTTTGATCCCATTTGTTCCATTTGAGGTAATAGATGATGGATTCCCCCCCCCCATGACTTTTAAGCAATTAAGTAAATTTACAGAAAATGGGCCACCATTTGGGGTGACAGTATACAATGAGACTAAATTAACTTTATGCTTTCTGTAATCTGTTCCAGCAACTCTACCAGATCCTGACAGACTTTGATATCCGGTTTTATATGTATGAACTACTTAAAGTAAGTGACATTTATAAACAGTGAATTTATTCAAACTTGTTTATCACAGGAGAACTTTTTGAGAGGACAGCGAACCTAAGCCCTGGGGCTTAATCATACTTTTTTTTTTTAAACTTCATTTGACGCTTCTAGTCTGGCATTTTTACTTGGAGACTTTCCAGTGGAACTCAGAAGACCAAGCCTCAGGGTACCCAAGGCCGTAAGACTTGCCTCATCATTGTCCTTGTGCCCCGTGGGTTTTCTCTTTCCTGCTTAATTACTGCTTGGTGTTAAATAGTTAACGGAGCTTTGATGGCATAGTCTGGAATGAATTGCAGTGATGCCCAGAGGCTGCACATCTCCTGTGGCTCACATCCACCACTGGCTCCTTGAGAGAAAGATGGCCTATCTCCACCCACTGCCGTTTCCCTCCAAAATCTGGGGGAGAGTTGCTGTGAGCTGCAAAGACTCAATAGCAGTGAGTCTGAGGGGGTTTTGTGAGATACTTTTCACTTAAAAAGTTCTCCCAAACTTAATGACATTTTTAAATTGATTTCTTGTTTGTAATTCTGTGGATTGCTTGGGTGGTTCCTTTTGCCTGGGTCAACTCACCTGGGGCTTGATATCCATAATGGCCTCAGTCTCATGGCTGAGGCCTCAGCGGAGATACTGACTATGAATCTTGTTTTAGGTGTCTTTCCATGGTGGCTTCAGTTACTAACAGCAAGAGGAGGGCAGACCTCAGTGTATAAGCACCTGCTTATGTCATTTATGCATTGATCAGAGGAGGGCATGTGGTCAAGCTTAGCCTCAAGACAGGTAGACTCCCCCTCATGACGGAGAGCATCACAGTCTCACAGCAGATTTCATCACCAGTGTTGTTAAAGTCATTCTACCTCCTCTCCCCCCGCACCCCACCCGCCCAGTCCTTGCCGTTAACTCTGACATGCAAGGAGAAGTGCTCAGTGGACCCTCGAGGAGACTTACTTGTTAAAAGCTTTATGGACTTTTGAAGCATTGCTTATTAGATATTACTGATGGAAGAATGATCAAGTCTGCCTTGGGTCACTGCGAGCTGAAATAAACTCAGTGGCATCTAACAACCGCCAAACAAAATTCCAGAAGTTTGTGAACTAGACAATCTCTTGAAAGCTATCAACTCTCAAAATAAAAGCAAGTGTAGGCAAGCTCTGGTGGCCTAATGGCAAGAAGCTGCGCTGCAATCCCAGAGGTGCGTGGTGCTGGAAAAGGAGGGACAGTATCCTCCTGTACCAGTCAGATTTGATTTGATGGTACACACACACACACAATAATAATAAATTTAAAAATAAATGCATGTGTAGACATAGATATACAGGAAATTATAGGGGCTGGATTGTAGATCTCAGGTTACAAACCTTTGAGATAAGGTAAAATGTGACTAGGATATTGGTATTATTGACACAAACTAAAGATAGAGTTGTGATGAAATTGTCAACACTTGGTTGAAGGAAAAACCAAGATGAATTAAGGAGAAATTGACTTTTGAGGAACTGGGTCTGAACTTAGTGTTTTCTGTAAACAAATGCATGATCCACTTGTCCATAATGAGAGTCAAGGCAGTGGGTTTAAGGATTCCCTCTCCTGTTTGTGTCTATAAGAACAGGAAGAGGAAGATTATAAAGCCTGCATTACACGTTCCTCAGGCTGGCATTTACAATCTTGTGAATTGTTGGGCTAACATCTTTTTTGGAGCTTCTTCCCAGAGAACCCTGTGTTCCCTCCATGAGAGCAGCAGTCCAAATTTAACAGTTGTAGTAATTAAGCAAGATATTGAGGTTTTAGATGGTGTATAAGGAAAGATGTATAACCTAGTGCAATTGTTCTTACGTCACAGAAAGACATCCAGAAAGTACGGATCTTCTCAGGCTGGTCAGTCGAATGGCCCTCACTCCTCTTCCCTCTTTGTCCTATTTTCTTGAGGTAGTAACTCTGTAAGAGCATATTCCTTCTGCTAATAAGCTGTTGATTCCCATTTGATACTTGAACAGCTTTTTTCATGCTTAATGGTCAGAGACTAGATTTTCCCAAAGGAATTTGAAAAGGTCAAATTCCAAGAGAAGTATGGGCTAATCAGTTGGCAAAAGAATACATTACTGTATTTGTTCAGGCTTTGTTTTCAACAGGTATTGTTGACATAATTAATATATTATTTTGGACAAAGAAAGGCAAAAAAAGAGACTCAATAGATTTCTCTACTGAAAATGGAGGTGGGAAGGGAAGGAGGAAGATTTCCCTTCAGATAAACCATAGGAGAAACTGAGGCAGGGCTGGGGACTGACTGCTCAGTGACTTTAGGGGTTTGTGGCAGATTCTGACCTGACTGGGAGAAATCTGTCCTGGAGTCCTAGTTCCCTAACGTATTGCCATGGAGCCACTTTGGATTCTAGCTACAACTGTTATAAAACAGAATGGCGGCGGGGGGCGGGGGGACACGACACAGAAATCATAAACTGCAATAGAACTTAGGTAAACTGACACAATCTTAAGAATGTAGGATTTTTGAGGTTTTAATTTTGTTTTAAATACGCGAAACTTCTCCTAAATCTGTGTAGACCATACTGGCCAATAGAGTAGCCCCCACCCACAGGTTGGCTGTTGAAGTCGATGTAAATTGCCATTGTCATACAAGACACATTTCAAATGCTTAATGGCCTCATGATGCTAGTAGCAGCTACAATAATAGAAAATGCAAACTGATACCATGTCTGTCATTATTGAAAATTCTGTCAGGAAGAGCAGATAAAGAATATTATAAACTCCTCAAACAATTCTCTTATTCTCTTCTTTACCTCATTGCATTTCTTTTTTAAAAAAATTTTTTTTTATTATTTATATGTGTGTGTGTACCGTCAGATCAGATCTGACTGGTACAGGAGATTGTTCCTCCTTCTCCAGCAGAGCATCTGGTGGATTTGAACCGTACCTCATTGTATTTCTGTGACCATAATTTTAGTTTTGCTTGTTCTCGACTAGAAATGACTTCATGCACCATATATTCTTCTGTATCTGGGGAGAACAAAATTTGTTGTATAGCAAGAAGCACTTATTCCTGGAATGCAGAAGCCTAGGACTCACTCTGTAGCATATACTTTCCCTCCCATAGTGAAGATGTCTAGTGTAACATTCTTCCAGCTCTGCTGCTCTGGTTCCTAGCTGGGTTAACCCCTAACCCCTGCCCCACCTCCCCCGAACATTTGGCAGTGTTGGCAACAATTTTTTGATCATCACAACTAGGGAAGGTGCTGCTGTATTACTGGTCGAACTGTGAATTAGTGCAATCACTTTGTGAAACAGCAGTTTCATCAAAGTTAAAATAAACCAATCACCCAGCATTTCCACTCTTAGCAGTGTCCCTGAGAGAATGAAAGTGTATGTTCCTTCAAAGGCTTACACACAAATGTTCATAGCAGCATCATTTGTAGTTGCCACAAATAACTAGTGGCCAGGGTTTGACTGGTACATTCATACAGTGGACTACCGCAAAGCCAAAAGGTTACAGGGATGAATCTCAGAACCATGGTGAGTGAAGAAAGCCATGCAAAGCACTCAGTGTTGGATTATTCCATTTATGTAAGTGTTCTGAAAGGAGAAACCATAGCAAGAGGCAGTGGAACAGCGACTGCAGTAAACGGCCTAGCAGAGGTTGGGAGTGAAGACTGAAGGCGCAGATAACCTAGAGGAAAGGTTTAGAGTGACGAAGAGTTCTAAAACTGCATTGTGATGATTGGACAGGGCTCAATACTAAGTCATTGGCTTGTACATTTAAAAAACCTAGTGTCAGCTGTCTATCAGGTAATGAATATTGAGACACCATGAGGCTTGTCTAAAAGACAAGCCATGCTGGAAGAGTTATTTGGGTATCATTGTTTTATGTGGGCGTGTCCCTTTGAATAACTATAAGAAGTGACTTATATGAATGAAAAAATACTGTTTTTAAAACAAAAACTGAAAGAAAAATAAATTACTAGAATGAGATACCCACATCTGGTTTTAAACATGTAAATTAGTCTGACAAATTACAGTGATATTAACTCAAAGTAAGCAATAAATTGCTCCTAGCTACAAGTAGGAGAAGAATGCTTTAAGAAGTGTATGACCTCCCTCTATACCCTCTTTTTAAAGAATCTTCACCATGAGCCTTGATGTCGCCAGCATTAGCCCACTTTCTCTTAGCTGTTGATTGTCATGTGTATAGAGTAAGGGGTACCTTCTGATCTGTGTGGTTATTTTTTCCCCCTCCATTAACTTCTGTAAGCTGCCCCATGAGTGTCACAAAGAAAAATATCAAGACTGTGCTTGGGTTGGGCGGTGGTAGAGGGTTGACTTCTATTTCTCCATGCTTTCTTCCCTCCTAGGCTCTGGATTACTGCCACAGCAAGGGAATCATGCACAGAGATGTGAAGCCTCACAATGTCATGATAGACCACCAACAGAAAAAGGTACCGCTGCAGCCAAGCAGCAGCAAGACAGACATGCGCCACTGCCTAGGGCTCTCACAGTCCTGTGTGCTGTTTTGTTTAGACAACCTAATACAGTTATGCTACCAGTGTCCAAATGCTAGATTCTACTTTGTGTAAGCATATAGTACACGAGGAAAGTAGGTGATGGACCCTAACTGTAGTCACATGTTAATTTGGTCATGGTTTTCTGAAGGGCCTCAAGAAAGAAACTACAGCTGATGGTTTCTGCTTCATTTCTTAATGACCTTCAGACCAATCTGCCTGGCCTTAAAAGTACACTTGAATCCCTCCTATTTTCAGTATCCAACTCTGATTGGTGAGTAAATGAATCAGCTAGTCTTAGATTAATTAAAAACTAGAGCAGTGCTTCAGTCCTGGAGTGGGGCATATGTCCCTGCCTTTGCGTTTATTATACTTAGAGCTTATAGTGAATATTCTTACTAGCGGGAGAATGTGTTGCACATGTAAAATATATGGAGGCAATAAAAAAGACTCAACTGCCTTGATGGAGAGAATGAAAAGCCAGGGCTTTTTTAAAAAGTCTTTTTAATGGCAAATAAGATACTTAGTGTTCTGTTTATGCAAGTGCTAAAAGTAATGTTTTAGCCAGTGTACCTGGCAGTATTTCCAGTATGACAGTGATTGTGATCTCCTGTAATTCGGCTTTGTTCTGTGGCACAGGCCTCTAGAGACACCCCTTTCGTGTGCTTTATTTCTGTTATTTTTGTAGTTGCGACTGATAGACTGGGGTCTGGCCGAGTTCTATCATCCTGCTCAGGAGTACAATGTCCGCGTAGCCTCACGGTACTTCAAAGGGCCCGAGCTCCTCGTGGACTACCAGGTAGGATGCTTGGCCGTACCGTGGACTTCTGTTGGTTTGGTGTTTATTTAGTCGCTTTTGGTACATTTACATAAAACCCAGTCTTAATCCCACCCCAGTGTCCTTGCTTCAGACTTTTCTCTTTGTTTTGACTTTGAATTGTAAAATAAATGTAAAAGTCAAATGAAGAGTAAATTTAGGAAAGAAAAAGTAGTTTCAAATGCCATGGACTGACTGGTTGTGTTCATTCCCTCAGATGTATGATTATAGCTTGGATATGTGGAGTTTAGGCTGCATGTTAGCAAGCATGATCTTTCGAAAGGAGCCCTTTTTCCATGGACAGGACAACTATGACCAGGTGAGTCGACATCATCTGGCTCCACCATGTGGAGGTGCATGTCACAGTTACATACATGGGTAGATGCAGTGTTCTTGCATCACTCAGTAGCTGCATATACATCTTATTTCAAGGAAACGTATCTCACAAGTTGATGGTTGTGAAAATACACAGACAGTGATACCAGTGCTCTTAATGCACAGCTTACATAGTGTGACTGGTGCAGTCTAAGACTGTAGAGTCTGGTCTTGGCTGGCAGTGCCCCTGTAATCATCAGCTCACAGAAGATGTCATCAAGTTTCATTCTTCTAAACGCAGTTTGGAAGTTTAGATTCTTGTAAACTTTTTGGCTTTGAGTCTGCCTGTCTCATCTAGCCTGTGATCAGAATCTGGGACGGAGTGGGGAGGTCGCCTGCTGGCTTTGGGGGAGCATCGTCTCGGGCTGTAGTGAGTTCTGTGCCCAGTGATTTGGTCAGTTTGTTTTGTGTTACAGCTTGTTCGCATTGCCAAGGTGCTGGGTACAGATGAACTGTATGGTTATCTGAAGAAGTATCACATAGACCTAGATCCACACTTCAACGATATCCTGGGACAGTAAGTAAGAGGGCAGGAAAGGGGGCTTTAAGTTACTGTTTTTCACAAGGGAAAAGTTAGCCAAAGCCACTTCATAGAACTCTTTCCCCTTTCATATAAGTTCAAGATTGAAATAGCCTTTTTCCTCTCACGTGGATTGATTTTTTTTTTTCTTAAGGCCAACCTAGAAACACAACAAACACCAAAAAAACAGCAAAGTTGAGATGCCAAGGCTTTGTTTTCATGTGTCTTCTGATAAGTGTATTTCTTAGAGAAACTTTATATTAGAAAATGGAGAATAATAAAGTCACAATGTTGGAAAAGGTTTACTGACACAACACATGTTAAGTTAATGGTGATTTAAAAAGCTGGAATTCTGCACTGAAGAAGAGATTGAATAGTTTCATTTTGTGCTGTGTAATGTTTCTATAAAGTTTCTATAAGCAAATTTGTAAAATCCTGAATTAACACTGAAAAATGATAAAATGATAGACACTGATTTTCAGAGAGAGTTTTATGGTACCTGCAGTTTCCTGCAGGTGGCTTTTTTCAAACCTGGTGACCAATAAAAAGCTAAAGTGGTCTCCAAACTTCACACAGAATTAGCTAAAAGCTCTGGAAAGACTCCACAGTTCCCCAATCCGGTATTGTCATTAATTCTGTTTATCAATCAAATATTATTTTGTTTTGGGATGCTTTGTGATCTGAGTTGGGGTGAGGGTGAAGTGAGTACCAAGAAGAGTAAGATTTGGTCCCCACTTCAGTAATCTTCTAGTCAGTATTTTTTCAGTTTTGTCAGCTGGAGCCCAAATAGGTAAAGATTCCTGTTGACCTTAGTCCCAGAACACTGATGCTTAGCTTTTCTCCTCAGACATTCAAGGAAACGCTGGGAGAACTTCATCCACAGTGAGAACAGGCACCTTGTCAGCCCCGAGGCCCTAGATCTTCTGGACAAACTTCTGCGATACGACCATCAACAGAGACTGACTGCCAAAGAGGCCATGGAGCACCCATACTTTTGTGAGTCTCCAGCAGCTGTCTTCTAAGGGTGGGCTTTAGAAAGGGGGATGTCGCCTGTCCTTTTTCACTGAAGCCAATCCAGAGAAGTCTAGGCATTTAAATCAGGTCTTCTTGGAATTTGGTCTTGTTATTTCTAGGCCATCAGAACAACTCTGAAGGTAGATCTTTTGGTCCTTGAAGGTGTTTACTGCTTTACCAGCTGAATTCTCTTGAGTCTTATCTGTTTGGCCATCCCTGTTGCATTGTGTAAAGAGATCTCAAGTATCATGGATTTATTCTCCAATAGATCTATATTTATGTGGAAGCCGGTGTGTGTGGGGTGGAATTCCAAATAAGAGGCATTTGAGATCTCACTAAAATCTTAACTGAATTACTGTCTTAGGGCTCATATTCCATTGGTGTGAAACTGCTTATTCTGCGTGCAGAGAGCTCTTATTCGAGCCTGTTCCACCCAGGTCATTGAGGAAAGCAGAGAACTCAACAGACGACATCCACTGCCCCTGCATTAGTGCTGACTCACAGTGATTCTGTGGGGTGGAGTAGAACTGTCTGTTTTTTGAGGCTGTAAAGAAACCTTTACAGAAGAGAACTGACTGCCTTTTCTGAATCAAGTTGAAAGTATTTAACCATTAAAATCCTTACTGAGCAGTGTGCAGTCTTTCCTTCCTACTTTCCTTGGAGGGTTAATTCTAGCCAGAGTTCATCCTTAGTGCTCTTGAATCTCCATTTGTTGTTGCTCTTGATGGTCTGACCTTATGTGCAACAGAGAAGACACTGCCTGGTCTGCCCTGTCCTCACAGTTGTTGGCGTTTTTAGTCCCGTGTTACAGCTATTAGGTCACGCCACCTGATGGAAGGTTTCCTTGTTTTCCCCGGCTGTCTACCCATAAACAGATGTAAAGGTTTGTCCATCATTTCTTTACCTCAGTCAGATGTAACTCAGATGTTCATTGCCTAGCACCAAGAGTTATTTTCCACCTTGAGTTAGACTGAATCAAGGACATTAGTAGTAGATATTTGTGATTGGTCTTTGTTTTCTGTTTATTTCATACTTCATTAAAAATTTTTTCTAAGTTACTGTCTGTAAAAATGTAGATCTATTAATAGCCCTGTTTTTTAAGATGCTTTTTATTATACATGCCAGATTAAAACATAAGAAGATGACTAAATATTTGGGACAATGGGAAGGTAGGGCTTCCATGCTTATTTGCCATAGATCTTGCTGTTGAATATGCATTCTGGAAGAGAAGAGTCGCCCAGGTCATGTTCTTCTTCTTACGTGACCTTAGTTCTTGTGACAAGGATTTCTCTTTTACCCCTTGCCTTACCAACCCAGGCTTTCTTGGCAGTCTGTATGTCTGTCTCTCATGGTGGATGATGCGTGGGGAGGGGAATGGTAGTGACGTTCTGTCCTCCTTGAACCAGCTTTAGCTGACCTTCGCCCTGTTCTCTTGCAGACCCTGTGGTGAAGGAGCAGTCACAGCCTTGCGCAGATAACGCTGTGCTCTCCAGTGGCCTCACGGCAGCACGATGAAGACGGGAGAGTGATGGGTAATGCGGCATTGATGCTTGCCAATAAAACCAACCAACCAAAACACAAACCTTGAAGGAAATCTACAGTGTGATAAAAAGAAATTCTAATCATTCCTTCTAAATGCAAAGAAGAGAGTAAAGATCTAAAAGTCAAAAAGAAACAAGAAACTCCCCAGTACTAGTCTACAGGGAGCTGCAGTGTGGCAGCGTGACGATGCACATAGTTCAGAAACGGAGAGAACTCTCCCTTTGGAATGCATGGGAGATGAGAGACTCGGAGTTGTTGTACATTTATCTTTATTTAACAGGAGACCGCTGTTGAATTAACCCGTTCGGTCAACAAGCTCTGAATATCTGACTTCCTATCTATTCCATTGTGGTCTGGGTTTCCTTTGGTGAGATTCAGGCTCAAGTTTTAGCAAAATGTCAGCAGTTTATCCTGACACACCAGCCTCATTTATGAAAAGGAGATATTAAAACAGTGACAGTATTTCTTCTTTCTTTTTTTTTTAAACTCTTTTACAAATTCATGTTTTATGTATTTTTTTATGACATGAGCTCTCCAGAAAATGTACCTCATCCTTGCAGTTTTCCTCCAAGTGTAGTCATTTGAGAGCAGACTGCAATCACTTCCTTAAAAGAACCCTCTCCAATGTCAGGTGGCCTCACTGTAGACCTCGGGTACCATGGACAGGTCCATCAGTCTCATTGGATGCTGTGTGTAGAGCGCGGAGCTCACTGTAACCTTTGTTGATTTGCCTAACCATAAAATCTTCCTGCTTTTTGTTGTTGGTGGTGTTCAGTGCCCTCCTCCTTCCCCTCCCCCTTTTTTTGGGGGGGTGGTGAGTCTTGGGGCAAACTCGCCATTCTCCACACATCTCTGTATGCCTATCTTCCTTAATGTACCTCTCTGAAACAAAGTGTTCACAATCATAAGTAGAGCTGGAAAGTCAGTCTTCAGGCAGGTTGAGGAGGGAGAGAAATGTGCTATTAAATTTTATTCAAAAAAGACATTGGGGTAAAGATGGGAGCTCCTTTACCCTTTTTGTCCCTATGAGAGAAGTGAATTCCCACTACAATCAGGCTCATCTGTATTTTTAAGCTCCGATATGTTTGTTACACATGAATGTGATGGGGGAAATAAGTCTTTTTTGTGTGTGCATGTACTTGAGTGACACGGGCCAGACTACCCAGTGATGCAAGCAACTGAGCGGAAAGTAATATATAAGGAGCTTGGGTGAAGAGGTCAAGCAAGTATTAAAGTTTTGGATCCATTGTGCAAACATGTACATTGGCAAAGAAAGCTAGATTTGGGATTTTAAAAAAAAAAGATGGTGCTGGTTTCATGTGGGGGTCTTGGCACCATCATGATTTGCAGGTAGTCAGTCCCTGTAAGCCCAGCTGCCGCTCGGAGTTTGCTGCAGAACTCTGCTGTAACTGGGGACTTGACAAAGCCAGGCTAGAGCACGAGGTGGCTACCACCACATCACACTTTAGAATTTCTTTATTGACTATTTAATAATGCCATACATTTTTATAAAGTTAGACTGTTTGTTTGAAACATCTGTTTACATTCCATAATCCAATAAAATCATATTGGTATTGCTAGCAGGTCCTATTTCTAAATGTAGATTCTTTTGTTTTTTTTGGTCTATGGGAACTTCAGAAGCAAACGCTTTGTCTTTAGAGAACTGAGTTTACAGGTTAGAAAATAAAAGAAGATCCCAAAGTCAGGAAATGGATTTGGTTAAGATTCTCACACCAGTACTGCCCGCTCACATTGTGTATTTGTTAGACCTAAAAATAAAAAACAAGACAGAGATCTCGGCAGAACCTCCATCAGTGGGTGAGGCAGCACAGCTTCGGTGGTTCACATTGCCAGAGGCGCCTGGGCTACTGCTGCTGCTAAAGGTGGTCCTGAACTGTTGTTCCTGTCAGGGAGACACGCCACTGGGTCTGCCTGCCTCCCTCTCATCTCCTTAATCACCTGCTGGTCTGGTCCCATCTTTCCTTTTCTTCTTTTCATTTTAACTGCCTGTCCGAACCAGGCAGAAGGATCCTCCTGCTGGAGAGTATGATGAAGCAGTAAGCAGTTTCTTTCCCTTGGCTCCCCCAGAAGCAGTGAAAGTAGACGGAGAGGAGTTAGCTGGTCCACTTGGCTTCTGGCTCTTGTGCTCTTAATTTACTGTAAGCAGTTCACCTGCCTGTCCTGGGGCTGTAACTGCAGCCGGGACATGGGAGTCATTCTCCTTTTCTACACGCAGTTTACTTTTCTAGCATCTGTTTACCACTCCTCATGCCTTAGACTTTGACCACAGCTGGGTGTGAAAAGCCCTCTCCCTCCTGAGTCTGGCCTTGACACCTCAACTTACTGGCTCTTTTTTCCCCAAACTGGAGCTTCCAAAACTGGTGTGTGCCCAAAAGTACCTAGCACCCGTGTGAGTGAGGAGCACCCCAGGCCTCTGGGTGAGGAGTTGGTCCAGGAGCGCTCCTACAGAGGCGAGTGAGGGAGGGGACGTGCGTGTAGCTGGCGTCTGTTTAAGTTATGGTGGGTTAACCACCCAATACCCTTTTTAGTTAGCATATTTTTTCAGCTCATCTCAATTTTTCATTAGAAATTTTGTTTGCTTCTTTTACCTTATAACAGGTTAAAAGTGCCTATGATAGGACTTAATTCTTTCTTAAAGAAAAGCAAAAAAAAAAACTGGGGAACAGGGTAGTGTTACACTATCATCTCAGGTACTGCCTATGTTCAAGAACATAGACCTGGTGTGGTGAAAACAAAAGGGTCCTATGCCAAAAACAGCTCGCTGTTTGCTAGTTTATTGGCTACAAGTAGCGTAATTGCGTGGCTTTGCTTCAGGTGAGAAATGCCGAGTCGAGGGCTGAAGTGCTAAGGAAGTTGCCATCTGTGGCTTGTTTCAGTTCACTTTCCTCTGGATTATATCGGCTGGGCTAGCTCCTCTCCTGTCTCGGTGGTAGGTGTCTGGTGTGGTCAATACCCTTACCAGGGCTCCCCAAGCAGAGGCGTGTGGCTGCCAGGTACTGACGGCATCATTCAGTGGGGTCTCCTAACAGCATTCTGTAGCACTTCACCACTTGTGATGTTTCAGAGCAGATGTATTCATTTCCTTAAGAGAAGGGAGACACTCTCAGACTGGTTGAGAATAGGGGACATACACACTCTAATGGGGCTTTGGAAAGGGCGACTAAGGGGTTGGGTGAGAGTCTACAGGTAAATGTGGAAGAGGGTCACGCTAGAGCTAAAGGCAAGCCTCACAGCGCATGTAAAATATGCCTGAGGCGCACCCTGTACCCCGGGGGTGATGCCAGTAAAACAAAGATGGGACTCTGCAGTCAGAAGTTGGACCTCAGCTGGATTCCGTGGGTCTCAAAGTCGGTGTCTACTCAGGGAAATGACTTAGATTCTCCCAGGTGCTGCACTGATGAGGACGGACACAAGCCACTTTGCAACAAGGAACATGAAGACTTTATATTTGCATTGAAATAGAGCTAAAAGAGCCCAGTTAACGGTTTCGTTTAACTCCAGGTCAAATTAAATTCTTAGAAACCTGGTGTGCTCTGTGAGCATCTGCAGGGAAAAAAAACCCACAACTTTTCTCATACAAGTAAGTAGGAGTGAGTAATAGTGGATTAGAGTCAAGGTCATATTTATAAACCCTTCTGAACACAAATGCAGGGTCCACATGAGCATACAGGAAGCCAAAGTTTGCCAATGCGCTTATTAATAAATTACATTTGAATATTGCCCTGCCTTTTAAAAACCACTCCAGAGTTAGGATGGAGGCTGTAGTGGGGCACTATCTGGTTGGGATAACCAGTAATAACCTGATTTTAAGATGTGTGGATGTATTAATGCAAACAACCCCAACCAGATGTTAGAGGCTGGGAAAAAACGATGTCATGAAATTACACAGGTGATGGATACTTTTGTGTTGATTCAACAATGTGCTGCAAATGTGATACTTAACCCTGAACTGCATGTATTGGGGGTGTTAAAAACAGAAAGCGCTCATTGACTCAATAAATTAACAGTTTTGCACCTGCTGGCTCTTCTTGCTATAAATGGTGTCTGAGGTTGGGACAGAAATCCTGACACCCAGTTGGAAAGCTTGGACAGATCTTCAAGAACCATGAAACAGAACGTTTCCTTCCGTTTGCAGAGAAGCAACACTGCCTGGGTTGTGCTCCTCAACAGAGGACTCCTGCAGACACAGTTGGCCACCTTTGTATTCCTTGCTGACTGGTGTACAGTTTATGTGCTGCTGCCCTTAAAAGAAAGAGCAATGCCATGTGAAATCCTATTTTCATAATAAAAATGTTGACAATAACCAGACTTTCCAAAAGGAGACCAGCTATTGCTCTGAGGATTTTGTGTTTCCTGTCTCCTGGGGGAGGGAAAGGATACAGTTTGACCCACGGAGATGTGTCTGGAGGCTGCTGGAGAGCACTCAGTCTCGCAGAGGTGGAATAAAGAGTGGTGCCGTGGTGGTGACTGTTCTGCTTGCGATGTGTGGAAATTAGCCTACTCAGGAGACCCTGCTGCTTGGCATTGACTGTCGTGAGCTAACCTTGTGGCACATACCCCGCATTTATGAAGATTCCCCTGCTGCCGTTCCTTGCACTTGCGTGTGCACATGGGGTCATACACGACTGTCAGGCAGGGATGTGCTCTCATCTCCCTGATGTGTGGGCAGTGATGGTAAAACTGGGCCACCCCACCTTTCCCAGATCTAAGTAGAACTCTGCCCTGAGTTCCTGGATTGTTTTTTTTTTTCTGCGTGGCACTTTCTAGGTGCAAGCATGCACAGCCCTCAGAGCTCTGGACGCAGTGGAATCCACTATGGGCCTCCCCAGCTGCTTCCCCGATGCACCATTCTGCTTGGTGTGGAAGGAGGGGTGAGGTTTCCGGGCCATGCCCGAGAGCTGTTTCCAGGGGAGGTTAGAAATGAACTCACAGATTGTGAGTTGACACAGTGGTTTCCCTGTGTAAATACAGAATTGTCTGAGGGTCTAGACTGCTGGGATTGTGCTCCCAGGGCAGCTACAAGCACATGAAGCGTGTTTTGTCGAATGATCAAGAGTCCTCTGTGCCGCTAAATCAGCCCGCAGACCTGAGGGAAGGGGTAGACCAGGCACATGACACACTTTCCAGAGCTTTTAGTCACTCAGGTCTCTGTTCATGTTGGGCAGAACAGAGTACTGTTCAGATCCTCATAGGAAGGGAATTCCTGCCCTGTTTTCCACATGGCACAGGAAGGTCAAGTTTGCACTGTTCTCAGCAGTCCTTGCGGAGGAAGTCAGAGGTGGAGGCTTGTTCCTCGCTCTCAGAATGATTAATGCCATCTTTCCCCTCCTCCCGTCTGTTTCCTCAGGTCTGTTGCTGTTTCTCCCACTTTTCCATAAGCAGAACAAGAGCCAAATCAAACGTCTTAACGTGTGTAGAGGTCACGTTCATGAGCAGACACGAAACGGTGGCAGGTTACGGGAGCACGAACTAGATCAACTGAAGGGCAGCCCACCACCGTTTACCAAACCTCAGTTCCGAATGTAAAAGGTTCACCAGCCTTTGGCCTCCTGTTGACTTCCTCCTGACCCAGAAAGCATGGGAGATGCAAAGGGTATGCAGACTGGTTGTTGGTTGCTGTTACTCCCTGAGCTTACCCACCCTCACTGACCCAGTGGCCACCTATTTCTCCAGCAAACTCTGTTACCTAGGTGGCCACAGACTCCACGGTGGGGGCTGGGATTTATGGCATGACGGGCAGTTACGTCTTATTTTAAAAGTATATATTATTGAATAAAAGGTTTTAAAAGAAATGTATGGAGAGTTTTCAGTGTGGAAGGAGCCACTGATGGAAACCCAACCCATGGCTGTAAATACTAAATGAAACAAGAGCCCCTGTGCCTCAGAGGGCATGCCAGGAGTGGGCAGCCCAGAGGTGAGAGTCTGAACAGCACTTAATGGGAAGAAGTGTTCAAGGTAGGGCTTCTGTAGACTCAGGCAAGCTGGAGGTCACCCAGTATTTTAGGTAAAACCTACCTTTGGTGTACCGAGAAAAAGCAAGTTTTTGCCTTCTCTTTTTTTTCTGTCTACATACCTTCATTTTCATTGCTTCTGGAAGTGTGTTGGAAGATGGTTGAGTCTGTTCCCTGAGACAGGAGGACCCACGGATTTCAGATCCTAGTGCAGCTTCGGAGCCCATTCTGAAATCCCCATGGACTGGAAGAAAGGGGCCCACTCCCTTAGAAGTCACAGTAAAATGGGGGCACTGGTTGCATATAAGAGAAGAAGCAAAACAAAACCAGCATCACAGAGGCACTTTCTCCAACACCCTCAATCTACCTTCTCAGGGCAGTGGTGCCAGGGCCGGTGAAAGCTGGATGCCCACTGGTTCTCGGTGGAAAGCCAGCTGATGTGCCTGAAGAATGTCTCCTAACTTAACAGATGGCTGTAAACCAATGTGTGGATGCAGCTTTGGGAAAGGCACAAAGAGAAGCTCCCAAGGCATCCTTGGGTCCTGTGGAACCCCTTCTGTCCAGTCAGCAATTCTTCAGGTGCAGGAGCTTAACAGTCTGGGACACGAGTGAGTGAGGACCCACTGAAGGTCCACGGGACACAGCAGACGGCCTTGGCACTCCAGCTCCAGCCCAGGCCTGCTTTTGTCACACTGCCTCTGTGAGGTCATAGCCAACCCAGGGATCTGCATATTTGTGCTGGTCTCCCAGCTCTCATTATAATGGGCGTATCTCTGAATGGTTTCTCCTAAAACAGGGCTTTGCATGTGTGAGGTTGCCTCTGCTGACCCCTGGTGTTTCAGTTCCTTCAGATGGCAGATCTTGTCTGAACAGATGGCTCACTATGGGAACTGTGGACGCCATGTAATAGAACTTGAGTCCTTTAATTTCTCTCTGAAAACCGTGTTGTCCGATAACCTGTGAGGTGTATCGGGTGGTTCTGGGTTTTGTGGATGACAGTTTCTGGGTGGGAAAATAAAATACTTGGTGTGGCGAGGAGGAAGATGAGTTTTTTTGGTTAAGTTAAATATTCCAAGCAGGTGAAGGAAAATAACCATTTACACCTAAAACATGCTTGAAAATGAAGTTCAGTTTACTTCTTATTTTTTTTTTATTAAAAAATAACCCAACAGCGGGTTTTTTTTTTGCATTTTCCTCATTGCCAGTGTAATTCATATTAATAATGTTTTTTAAAGTAGTATAGAAGATTCAAGACTCTTCCCAACACTTGTTATGTGTCATCAAGTTGCTGTGACCCATAGTGACCCTATGCACAACAGCCCTTAACTCTGTCCTATCCTGAGCCAGTCTCACTGTCTCTAACATAGTTGCCCCTATTTACACAGTATGTCAATCCATCTCATTCAGAGTTTTTCCTCACCTGTGTTGTCCCTCCACCCTTCCAAGCATCATCCTTCTCCAAGGACTCATTCCTTCTCGCAGCATGCCCAAAGTATGTGAGATGGAGCTTCAAAATCCTTGTCTCCAAAGGGCTGTTTGGTTTCATCCTCTCCAGCACAGACCTGTCTGTTTTCTTGGCAGTACACGGTATGTTCAATACTCTTCTCCAGCACCACAATTCACAGGGATCAATTCTTCTGTCATCCTTCTTTATTCATTGTCCAGCTCTCTAATTCATAGCAAGTAATTTTGAAGACCATGCCCTGGATTAGGTGCAAATTACAGACCCAAAAATTACTTCTCTCCTTATTACCAAATCGGTAATCACTTCACAATTTGGAGTGTCTTTGATTCCCTTCCCGCCACCCCCCTCCCGTGAATAAGAAAACTTTACTTCTTACTCATGTTTTTCAAGTGTGATTTTTTAAAAAATTTTTACAGAAATGCACATTTCTGTAACTGTGTTTTCACCTAGGTGTAGGAAGTATCATTTTTTGGCATGTGTAGCTTTACCTCACCATTTTTCACAGCTGCATGGTACTCCACTGTGGGAATGCACGATTTACATAATTCTTTATTGATGGACCTTGTGGTTGTTCCTGGTTTTTCACTATTAATCAGTATCATTGTAGGGAGCAGATTTGCATGTACATTTGTGCATATTGTGTATCTGCAAGATAAACATCTTAAGAAGCATTATGGTGCCATACAATTTCTTCCCCCAGGAAGGGCATAGTTAGGATTCTAAGAAAGCAGTCTTGCATCCCTTCTTTCGCTGGTGTAGGCTGACACACGTCTCCTGGCATCTTGGAGGGCTCCATCAGGCACGAGGAGCATGACCCCTAGTGACTGAGTTTTGAAGGGGTTTATAGAAGTGCGCATGACCTGGGTGGAGGATGGAGACATTGACTCTCACATAGAAAAATTACAAAATTTAAAAAATGTAAAAATGAAATGTCATAGAAATGTCAACTTCATTATTAATGATTAAATTCAGTATTTGCTTTTCAAAATTATTTTCTTTCTGAGGTTAATTAGTGAAGCATGACAGTCAATCATGAAATAACCAAGTTGTTTACAAAGCAAGTTCTAGAGATCTTTTCAAGAGCCTGATAGGACAATGTTACCCTGAATATCAAATCTGAGTGCAATTTGATATGTTTGAAAGGCTTTGGGGAGGCCTTTAAAAGTTAGCATGTGTCCCCCCCCAAAAAAAAAAAACTAAGCATGCATGTCAAGGGCCAACAGTGGAGGCTGAGCAAACCTTTCTGCACACTGCACTCTTCTTGCCATAGCTAATGTGATGGTGAGATGGGTCTCACGTGCATGTTGCTACATGATATCAGCCAGACTCAAAGGGAATATATGTTGAGTGATTCCACTGGTGTGACCTATTGAGGGGGAAAAACCCAAACTATAGACTCTAAAAGAGCCCTGAGGGCTCAGTGTTAAGTGCATAGCTTTCAACTAAAAGCATGCTTGGATCCATCACCCTCCCAGTAAATCAAAGATGTGCAATCTGCTTTGGTAAATGATGATGGTAGGGACCGTCAAGTACAACTCTTTAGCGACTTTCTGAACAACACACCGGCATCCTGGCCTCTTCTCTGGTATCCGCTTCCGTTCTGGCACACTTGAGCTCCTTGCAGTCACTGTATCAATCGTCTTGTTGGGAGTCTTCTATTTTGCTGATCCTCCACCTTTCCAAGCATGATATCACAGAATAGCCTCTCCTGGCAACATGGCTAAAGTAAGACAGATGGAGGTTCACCTTCTTTGCCTCTTTGGAGAATGCTGGCTGCACTTTTCCCAAGACATCTGTTATTTTGGCAGTCTGTGGGATATCCCACACCCCTTTCCAACATCACAACTCAAAGACCTCAATTCTGTGTCATCCTTATTCATTGATGCCATCAACTTGACCATGACTCCATCTTTCTGGCCTGCACCTTCCTCATAGTGTCTGTCATGTTCAAGTCCATTGTAGGCACTGCCAGTTCATCTCCTTGGGAGTCTGTCTTCCTTTCATTGACAGTTCACCTTTCCCAGCATAATGTCCCTCTCCCAGGACTGTTTACTCAAAAATAAGCACAAAATGAGGCAAATGTTCCCCATCCTTGCCTCTAAGAAGTGGTCTTGCGGGTGGGGGAGCAGAAACCGGTAGGACCTTTCGTGGTTGATTTGCTGGTGGGCAATTCTTCAACCAATCACAATGTCATCCAACACAGATGTATCACTTTCTTCATATGATGAAGATCAGGGATCCAAATTGAGATGAAAAGCTAAAGAGGCACCATTTGTCCCCATTGGAATGGCGGGATTTGCTGCAATCGTTGCGTACGGATTGCACAAACTGAAGAACGGGGAATACGAAAATGTCCATCCACCTGATCCACATGTGAGTAGCAGCCCAAGGCTTTGTGGTGGGAGCAGTGACTATTGGTATGATGTATTCCATGTATCGAGAATACTGGGCCAAACCTAATAAGCCTTAGAAGAAGAGATGCTGCCTCCATCTTGTTAGTGTTGCTTGATTAGACCCTTCACTTTGAAGTTAGGTGTTTTATGTTAAAAATAAATAATCTGAGTGGTTCCAGTAAGCACACGGTATTTTAGACAGGCTTTCTTTATTGCAGCCTCGACTTGCCTTGTGACCAAATTGCCGGTGCCCTGACCACTAACTAGCCATCCAAGGGAGTCAGTTCAGCAAAAATGAAACAGGCCACCCAAATTCTCAAATTTTTAGGAGGAAATTCTCTTTGAAAAAGACAGCGGGCTGACAGTGAAGGACTTGCAGCGGCTGCGGTACACCCCGTGTCATGTGGTGTGCTGTGTGCCCCGGTTAACTGGACTCTTTCCTGCCTGCCTTGACGAGTGACCAAGAACCTCAGTTACTCGAGCTCATTGACTCTTTCAAAACCCTCTCAGAAAACAAGATGGAGTACTGGCTCTCACAGCAGAAAAAAGTGTATATGTTTAAATTAATCCTAAAAATCTGGCAACAGCTGCTAAGTAGTATTTACTTTAGAATTGTACACATAAAGGCTGCTGTAATTGCAGAATTCTATTTTTTTGCTGCTGTCACGTTAAAGTAACTTTTCAATGTCCTGTTGAACAGAAGTTGTACGTTCTAATTGCTAATCCAACAGTAAATGAAGATCACTTTAAAAAAAAAGAAGTGGTCTTGCACTTCCTTCAAGATAGATTTTGTGTCCTCCTGGCACTGTATGTATATTGGATACTCTGCCAACACAATTCAGTGTTCAACTTTTCAAATACAGAGCAAATGAAAAGGCAGTGGCTTGAACTGGGCATACCTTACTCAAAACTGCCAGCTTTGTTCTTTGGAACTTTAGAGAGGTCTGTGACAGCAGATTTTCTCAATGCAACGAATCTTTTTG